AATTTAAGTTCTGGGGTACATGTGCACAATATGCAGGTTTGTTACATAGGTATATATGTGCCATGTTGGTTTGCTGCACCCATCAACTCATCATTTACATTAAGTATTCCTCCTAATGCTATCCCTCCCCCAGCCTTTAAAAATCTTTTTGAATCCTTATATTTTAAATAATACTGAGCTGTTAGAGAACATTTTAGGCTGAAAGACAATACAGTTTGGAATTATTTGTCTTATTTATAACCAACTTAAATGACCTCCAAAAATATCAAGAAACAGTTGCTTTAATACCAAAAAGTTCTTAGATGTCATATTATGATTTATACAGCTCCTTGATGATAATTTGATATTATTAGCAAATTAATCTTGTGGTAAAAAAATATTTAACTATCTTATGAAAAATAACTATATATGAATGTGTGGATAGTATCCATGAAAATTTATTCTTTTTTATTAACATACCAATTAATGGATCCATTTCAATGGGAAGATGGTGGGCTTGATCCAAGGAGTATCCTGGAGCTCCTCTGAGGCCTAAAGATTAAAAAAAGAGAGAAAAACATGAAATTCTCAGAAAGAAGGAATTTCCTAATGGGCAGTGTTTGATGATGATTTTACAAAATGCATATTTGCTTAAAAATTATTTGGTAAATTTCTCTGATTCAGTTATACTATGCGTCTCTGTAGACAGCTTTACAAAACAATCACAACAGGGACTTCAGGTTTCCACTTAGGATGTAGAAGGCTGGAAAGAGTTTTGTTTCTGTTCTAATGATGAGAAAAAGCTGGATAAATAGAAGATCGTAACATTTATTGAACCCATCAAAAAGCGAAGGTTACTGAGCAATCAATCAGCCTGAAATCAATGAAAGGGCTATGCTTCCAAGCAGGGATGGGAATGAGCCTGGGCTCACCTGGGGCAGGACAGAGGAAGCTGGGGCTGCCATCCAAGGGGGCCTTTTTTTCAACACATGACAAGTCAATTGAAGGTGTAAAATTGGGCCACACCTAAAATCTTAATCTCACTAAAAGCTACTTTCAGAGGATTAATGTTTAGGGCTTGATGAAGTTCATTAGTCATAGTTTTTCACACGTGATTATATAATATATACAACACTTTTGAACAATTTTAAATAAAACTTTAGTCCTTTATAGTTTTTCTCAAAGCAAAACATTTCTAGAGACTGTCTCCTGATAATAATATAGTCATAAATTTTTCTTAAGATATTTGCTGCCTATCTCTGATTGAATGGAAGTAGCATTACCTTATGTTGATAATATCACCAATAACCTTAAAATAAGTGCACTTAGAAACTCTTAGGAGATAAAGCTATGGTACAAATCACT